TGATGTCCGGGTTTAGCGCAAGAGAAGCACTTGTATATGTGTAGAAAGCTTGACCTGAAGAATTTCCTTCCCTAGCAGTGGAGTGGTTATACTGCTTGGGCATGGCCCTTACCTTGTGCACTGGCTGTGGTGACTTTCTTGAACGCTGGACTTGATGCGCCGAAAATTCTTTATCACTATCTGCAGCTTGAACTTGGTGAACAGGCGCATTTTGATTCCGGAACTGCTGCGTCTCAACGGCAGCAACCTCATTAGCTTGGGCTGTTTGCAGACATTCTTCAAGAGATCTTGGCAGTAGTCAGCTTCTTTTGGGTTTCAGCACTGTGGATCCCACTTACAAACTGATCCCTCAATGCTCTGGTGTGGAACTGGCCAAAATCACATGTTGCAGCCATGTGTCTCAGCCTAGCACTTTAATCTGCATTGGACTCATTTGCTTCCTGAATGCATCTGTGGAATTTAAAAGTTTCAGCAATGTGAAGTCTTATGGTCTCCTGAATATTTTGCATTTTTACATTTTACATTCTACATACACACCTCAAAGTAAGTGTACAGTACTGTACTGCATTTTGTTTATACTTTGTATGTACTTTTTTGTGAGTTGGAACCAATTACCCAATATTCCATTGAAATAATAGATTCGGTTAACAAAATTTTCGGTTAACAAACGACACTGGAACGAATTGTGTTCGTTAACCGAGGGACCACTGTATATTATATACAGGGTCTCATCAAATCAACATTACACAAATCATTCCATTGAGATATTTGTTTTAATATTGTTTTACTTTGATTCCTTAGTATGTTTAGTATTGAGTATATCTTACTCTTAAATGTAAACAAACAAGGCTGACACACTGTGCAAAACCTGATGAGCCCCTGTAAATGCACTAGTGAAAGGGACTGGACGGTATTTGTTGTCCCATATGTTATGTTTAGCTAGAATTTAATAATTCTGCCAGTATTCACACATATTTTATAACATAAACTGCCTTAATCATTAATTTTAAACAATCATAAAAAATTACAACTTCCATCTCCTGCTCTTGGCAGCTTTTCTCAACTCTTTTTCAAAAGATTCCAAGTACAGTACAGTACTTTACAATACATTAAAGTACATTCTTTTGATAGATGATAACATTTGAAAACTCTTCCTTCAAGAAACATGTTCAGTTGGGTCTTCATTTACGCGGTCAATTGAACCCGCGTAAAACGAGAAACGCGTAAATGAAATAACAGAACATATGGGATTAATTGAAATAGAGACTGAGACGACCCCCAAACTCCACTTTTTCAGACACAATGCCTACGTTGTAGTAAAAATAGTACCTTAGCTTTATGATGGTATGCACACACACATAATATAGAAGAGAAATATCAATAAGAGAATAATATACTGTACCAGGTAAAAGAAAAATCAAGGTTTAACACTTACGTAAGGTTAGGTTAGAAAAAATCAAGGTTTAACACTTATGTTAGGTTAGAAAAAATCAAGGTTTAACACTTACGTAAGGTTAGAAAAAATCAAGGTTTAACACTTACAATAGGTTAGGTTAGAAAAAATCAAGGTTAGGTTAGGTTTAACACGTTAGTAGAAGAGATGGGTCGGTGTACGGGATTGGCGGCTGGTTCCGAGGCAGGGGGCTGATTACTGGCCCTCAGGTGAATTACCATCACTATCCACCACAGTTGGCAGGGCCTCCCTTACAAATCCCTCAAAGTCACCATCACTGTCACTATCACTTTTTTGGGCTGCCTGTGGTGGGTTGCGGGCGAAGAAGTCCATGATGTTACGCTGACGGCTAGTGTTGACGTTTTCATGATACACCTTGATGTACGGCTCCATAGTGTGCAACAGCTGGTTATTGAAGATTTCATAACGATTATTGTCAGTGTCGTTGGAAAGGATGAGCTTCAGTTTCTCTGCAAACTCGGTGGCATCCTTAACATTACCATGCGTTAACTTGTGTTCTTCTCTGGATGACGCACCACCTGCCTCTTCACTGACGTCATCGTCTTCTAACATCTCGTCGGCAGTCACCTCAGGATCCCTTATCACCTCCATAATGTCGTCGTTGGTGGTCTTGGAGAAGCCTGCAGCTGTAACACTGCGCAGCTTCTCTTGCAAGGTCCACTGCCACTGCAACAGACTGAACCTCACCAGTCACAGGTTGACTCTGCCTCCCACCTGGGATACCTTGCAACACATGCCGCCATGCGTGACGAATCGTTGTTACAGACAGCTGATCCCATGCCTCCACCAAGAAGTCAACAGCTTTCTTGACGTTAAATTTCTTCCAAAACTGTTTGACGCGAACTTCTTGATCCGCCAACTCTTGTTCCTCGTCCTTTCGCTATCGGTGTCACCCAGGTTACGCAACTCATCCTTGGTGTTGGTACAGTCGTTCAGGAGCATAAACTTCTTTGTAGAGAATGCAGCCTTCACATTACAAATTAATTCTTGATCCATGGGCTGGATTAACAACGTGGTGTTGGGAGGAAGGAAGACCACTTTTACGTTGGGGTGACGATCCAACAGTAGGGGCGAGTGTCGTGGTGCGTTGTCAAGGAGCAAAAAAATGTTGAATGGAACATTCTGTTGCTCGCAGAATTTCTTGACGTCGGGAACGAAACAGTCGTCAAACCAGGAGAGGGACAGAGCAGAGAACATCCACGCCTTACGTGCGGTTAGCCAGTGGACATTTAGCTTGGTCATGTCCATGTTCTTGTAGGCGTGCGGCTTGCGGGCTGTGTGAATTACCAATAACTTGAGTTTACAGGTACTGGAGGCATTGGTGGTAAACAAAACGGTGATGCGCTCCTTCTGCAACTTCCGGCCCTGACACTTGCTGGCAGACTTGACATCGAAGGTCTTGGAAGGTAGCTTTTTCCAAAACAGACCGGATTCATCCATGTTGAACACCTGGTCGTTGGTGTACTGTCCTTCCTCCATAACGTCACGTAAGAACGGAGGAAAATCACTAGCTGCAACACGGTCAGCACTCAATCCTTCACCACCAATGTTAATGTTGGTGATCTTGTTCCTCTTCTTAAACCCTTGCAGCAACCTAGAGGAAGCATTGAAGGGTTTGGGCTCTGCAATTCCCATTTTACATGCCACTGCTACTTACAGTTCACGTGCGTACTCTTGAACCGACCGCGTGTCCACCGCCGTGTCCCCTCGTGCCTGACGAATCAAGTAGCTCACAAGTAAATTCTCCGTCTTGAGAAGCACCTTGTTCTGGCAATACTTGATCATTGAAGCACCTGCAGACTTTGTGATGTTCATGTGTTCTTTTATCTTGGCTGCATCCTTCTTGATCGTCCGGATCGTAGATTCGTTAACACCAAGCTGGCGAGCGAGATCAACCTGTCTTGTTCCTTTTTCTAATTCTTGTATTATCTTGTACTTCACCTCATAACTTATGGCACGTCTTCTCTTCTTTGGCTTAGGGCGGCTGGGTCCAGGTAATGCAAGATTTTTCTGTGGTAGTGGGGGTCCAGTGGAAGCCATTCTTAAGAGATTAGCGAGATTATCCGAACAATGGCACACAGTATACACGGGGTGACTGGGAGGATTGTAACTGACGCGGCTAGGTCAAGCGGCTTCATCCCTCCCACGGCAGGGCACGTCATATTACATTAAACCAATCACAGCTAGCGGCTGAGGGAGGTAAGAGTGCGTGGCCCAATCACAGTCCGATACGTCATATGACGTCACCGTTAACGCAACAGAGACATACACTGCGGAACCTACTCACACCGCTTACCCAACATGGTGGGAGGCTTGAATCCAAAAATGGCAAGGCGCGGCAGGACCGCCAGCTGCTCTCCGCGTAAATCAAGCATCCCGGTTCTGGCAAGGCACCGCGTAAATGACCAAACGTGTAAACGAAAACCGCGTAAATCCAGACTCGACTGTACAGTAAAAGAATGTGAATTACTGTATCTCCGATGACCACACATTGACGCTAAACTTTTCAACTTGCTCAACTTGATTATTCTGCATCAGTGCTTCCATTTATTTCTGAATAAAGAAACTCAGAATCAATTTCTCTGCTGGTACTACCACTCGTTATAATGGTATTTAGATATACTGTACGTGTAAGAGTGTGCCATAAATTTTTACACTCAAAATTGGAAATGATAAAACAAATACTGTATGTATATGGTAATTGTTACCAAGTGGACCACGACCGACATACTTTATAGTACAGAACCATACTGCATATGAAACATGTCATTCACTCTGCTGACTTTAAGATACTGTATATCAATTCCATAGTAATAAAAATTGAAGAGTGGCCTCTGCTCACTTTTTACCTTCATAAGCTCCATTCTCAAAGTAAAGTCTAGTCTTGAAATTTATCCTTTAAACTGTTCATTGATTATCTTTCAATTTATTTGTTAATTATAAATACGCACATTAATGGCAAGTGAACAGTTTTAACCTTCATAAGGCAGAAATCAATATTTTCTTTGACTTGTCAGTTCTTATTTATGTGGGTGCGCCTGTGGAGAGGGTAAGGCAACAACACAATTCTCGAGTGGAATTCCAAATATATCCAATAAGATTATGAGTTGGGCACACACCTCTAGCCTGTGATTTTTGTTTTAACTAATCTGATCAACTAGGGATGGCTAAGATTGGGCTGGTCGCATAGTTCAGAATTAGAAAAAAAAAGAAGCTGAAGGCTACACATAGAATAATTTATTAACAACTGTGTATTCTTTTGTGGAAGATCAGTCATTTTCACTGACCTCATTACAAATTGTTAAATGTCATGTAGACTCACTAAAAGATTATTCTGCACCTTTATGGGGTTATACAATATGACACACTGGACCGAGAAAACTGATAACACCCATCATGGGTACGGCCGCAGTGATCGTTGCAGATGGTTTCAGAGCCAAGGGTGCAGAAATTTTTTTTAGTGAGTGTACAGTACTTACACATGAGTATACTATGTTTTAAAAAGTAATTGTGCTCATCTTTCCAGGTATGTCTAAGTGGATGTAATGAGTGCAAGAGAAACCAGTGTACAGAATGAAACCACCACTTCCAGCCACAATGTGACAGACATTACTCAAGCTGTTGCTGGGGTGAGTGTACTTTGAACATCGTACCCTCAGCACGACTCTTGTGTTGTGGCATAATGTTACTTAAATGTTTCCTGTATTGTAATTAGTTTAATAATGAAGTTTTATTGGTTTCAGGGAATTGCCCCCGGCAGTAGCAGCATCAGCAGTGGTGGTGGAGGCGGTACAGAGTCTCAGCTAGTGCAGCAGCTAATGAGTCCTGTGAAGAGTAGTGGCAATATGGGGTCAGGTGAAGGGGAGCTAGTGAGGCTCACTGATCCCCGTAGTCTTCACTCCTACACACCTCACACCTCTCCTGTGCCTTCTACCCATGGAACAACTCCTGTACTTGCTGATGTCACTCCAAACACCACTCCATCATCCTCTCCCAGAAGACCACCACCATCCATTTTGTCACAGCCTCCTGCCAAACGTATTAAAGTTGAAGAAAAGCCTACTGATTTGTTAGAATTAAGGAAGGTCATAGTAGATTGGAAAAAGGCAAAATTAGAGAGTGTAAAGGAAAAATTTAATGACCATTTGGTAGAACTTTTCTTTTTAGAAAGAGATGGCAATATGATGGACTATCAGTCATGGAGTAGAAGACCCACTCCAGAATTCCTCCAGTTCATTCGTCAACACAAACTCGAAGGGGATGAATCTTTAGAGGCTAAGTTCGTTATTCCCAACCCCTTACACTTAACCTCAGGTGTCCAAATAAAAATGGAAAATCCCTCAGGATCCCAGTCACCATTGAAAGGTGGCTTAGGTGCTCATGCCAGGACTTCCTCATCACCTGTCAAACCTGGGAAGGGTTTGGCAAATCCAGGAATGGGAGGACGTCAAAAAACACCCTCTACAAGTGAGAATGTTCAGGCTACCACACAGCAGGACCAGATGGTGGAGAAGGCAAGACAGGAGGCGTATGTCATGCAACGAATAGCTTCATTGAGAAAGGAGGGACTGTGGGCAGAAAAAAGATTACCAAAAGTGCAAGAACCACCTAGAGCTAAAGCCCATTGGGACTACTTGTTGGAAGAGATGGTGTGGCTTAGTGCAGATTTTGCTCAAGAACGGAAATGGAAGAAAGCAGCTGCCAAGAAATGTGCTCGTATGGTTCAGAAATATTTCCAGGACAAAGCTTTGCAAGCACAAAAGGCTGAAAAGGAACAAGAAATGAGAACTAGGAAGATAGCTGCATTTATTGCTAAGGAAATTAGAACATTTTGGGGAAATGTAGAAAAATTAGTTGAATACAAAGTGACAACAAAGCTGGATGAGAAAAAGAAGAAAGCTCTTGACCAACAGCTGAGTTTCATTGTAGATCAAACAGAGAAGTACTCATCATGGCTAGCTGAAAGCATGAACAAGCCAGTAGATTCTACTGCAGCATCTACACGTTCCAACACCCCTTGCCGTGACAGCCGGATGTCAGATGGTGAGTACCGTCATTGGTTATTCAAACTTTAAAGTAATTCTTCTTTGCCACCAGTACAGGTAGTTCTGCTATAACGCGATAATTGTGTTCTTGTAAAACATCGTGTTATAGAAAATCGCGTAATAGAAATAACAGGGCTTATGGAGAAAATAGGGTTAGGTGCAGATTACTCGAAATCGAAAAAATTTAGTAGTTAGCCTAACACAAAGGATAGCACAGTCTAAATAAATGTTACATTCATATCTAATAATGAAATCATACAGTAAATGTAACACTTTACTTGTTGGGGGAGAAGGGTGATTTTGAGGTTGATAAAATCGAGCTTCTCTTCAAGTGTTATATCCTTTCTTTTACGATCATCACCGGGAATTCTATCACCAGAACGCTTCTTGTTGATATTCTTCTTTACTATATTCACAGTTAATACCACAAAATTGGAGAAATAGTAAGCAAAAATCGCGTTATAGCAAACAAGCGTTCGCGTTATACAAATATCGTTCCTAATTCATAAATCGCGTTAGAGCAAATTCGCGTTATCAAAACACGCGTTATAGCAGAACTCACTGTAGTCTTAAACTTACACAGTAGATCATCATTTTATGTTTTAGCTACTTGTAATTTTATGAAATAATGTAAACAATTTACACCTCTGGGTGCTGGGTCCAACACAGTTGGCAGTCAGGCATAAATTGTTTACGTACATTAATTTACGTACAGTGGAGTATGCATTTACGCGGTCAATTGAACCCGTGGAGGCCCGCGTAAAACGAGAAACGCATAAATGAAATAACAGAACATATGGGATTAATTGAAATAGAGACTGGGCCGACCCCCAAACTCCACTTTTTCCGACACAATACCTACGTTGTAATAAAAATAACATCTTAATTTTATGATGGTATGCACACACAATTAATATTTAAGAGAAATACAGTCGCCCGGTTAATGTCCATTCAAATAATGGACTCAACTCTCCCCCTCTTCCCACGCTCGCTTGCTCCTCCCTCTCTGAGAAATGTTTGGGTGAAAACACTAGATTTTAAGGTATAGTAATAAATAATACCTCAGACTAAAGTTAGGATAATGTAATTGACATTGCTGGATTCCTTGCAGGAGAGGGAATATTTTGAATGTCATATATTTTGCACAAAAGATAAAATGTTTGCTAATTTTCATCATCTCCTTACATTACATCTAAAATTTGTATTATGTCTAACGCAAATGTTAAGATGTTTATATTTGAAATGATCACCATCTTGTAAGGATTCCAGCAATGTAAATTATATATTTTATGAGCAAAAAACATATATATCTTCAGTAAATAAACAAATTATACTTCACCCACTTAAATGATGAAATTTACCGCGTAATTAAAACATCTCATTCTGGCAAGGTGCCGCGTAAATGACCAAACGCGTAAACTAAAACCGCGTAAATCCAGACTCAACTGTACTTGTGTATGTTACAGGCTTCTATATACAAAATAATTATGATAATGTTGCTGTTGCTGAATTACTCTCAGAATTCACAATTATGTGCAGTTTAAGTGTCATTTACTGTAGCTTGCTGCAGGGATGGATTAAGAATGAGTCGGGCCTTGGGCCCACCTTCCCTACTCTTGTTGATATCCTGCAGTAAATTTCATTAGTGGGCTAAGCAATAAAACTAAGGTTGAAGACAAAACAGTTTACTGTACATAAGTATGTCCCTAGACAATTTTGTACAGTATACTGTATAACCAAAATTGACAGCTTTTTACCTCAATTACTGTACTGTGATCGGAAGCAGTATCCATATCAAGAAATTTGGGTAGTACAGTATGACTGTATGACATTATAAGTGGGCCTTGGCAAGAGGATATCTCATTCCATCACCTGCACCATAACCATACATACATCTACAGCACATTCATTCACTGGTAAAGTGATAATTTCCATTTTTAGTTAACTAGCACAAAATGTAGATGGGCTTCCAGCATATAGTTACTGTATTACTTGGGTGACACTTTGACAATAGTCCGGGTTAACCCGCTACCTAACTAAGATCTCTTAAGAAGAAAGGGCAATTCTTACCTCAGAAATAAACCAAATGAGGTTGAGGATATATGACTTTAATATCCACCCCCCCCCCCCTTGTGTTTTTGCCATAAATAAAGATGATCTGTGCCCATCATCCACCTCAAACTCGTGTTTTTGCTTCAACTATTGGCAAGTGCATCCCAGCTATTGATTCACTGAACACTAAGTGACATAACTCTTCCCAGGGTCCTTTCCATGCAAACCAAAACATTAACATTGAGCTCCCTAACCTGATCTGGAAGTGTTTGTGTTTTAAAAGGACAAAGCTGGGAAGCATTCTTAAAGGAAGAGTTTATGAACGTCTGTGCAAAAATGTTAAAAGTTGCTGTTTCTTGGTATGAAATGGAATAGCATTACTTTTTATGGAAAATTTTTGTGTATGTGAAAATACTTTTGAATCGCAACACGGCATCATTGACGAGATATAACATCTTTATTTATGAAAGAAACTTGAAAAGACAATATGAAGAGTGTTATGCCTCCACCCAGTTTGGTTAACCCAGACAACTGTCATTAGGTGTTACCGTTACCTTTGTTGTGACCATTGTTGGTGTAATGTAAACAGTCAATTTGTGTTACAAAGGCACCTACAGGTAAGCTTCTTTGTCTTCTGACAGCATTTATTATTTATAGGAGTAGCTATTGCATGTATATAATGGGATTTATGTTGGATAATCGTACACATTCTTAAACTTTTTCTTCACAGAGGAATTCCGTCCTGAGGAGTCTTCAGACGATGACGAGGGAACAATAGCCCGAGAGGATGACAATCCGGAGGAACAAGCTTCAGAGTTACAGTTGTTGCATGAGGAATCCAAACAAACAATGGAAGATCTGTTGAAGGATCTTCCACCCGGTTATCTGGATGGTGGGGATTTTTCTCCGGACAACAGCACTGAAGACCTTGCCTCATTAGGGGAGTGTCTGGAAAGTGCAGAGGAGAAAGTGGAGGAAAAGGTGAAAGAGGAAGTTATAGGACAGGAGGTGACTGATGAAAAAGAGGAAAAAGACAGTGACAGTGTAAGTGAGAGAAAAATTGTTAGAGATATTAAAAGACGGAACGTGAAACTTAAGTCGAGCGAGGAGGACATTAGTGAGTGTGACAAGGATATTGGCGACCAGGACTTTAAGGTTGAGGAGTCAGGTGAAGATGAAGAAGAAACAATAGAGGAACAGGAAAAGAAAGAAGGAGAAACAGACCATCAACAGGAACTAGATGATTTACAGGTATGTGCTTTTACTTTATTTGTTTATCTGTTATTGGGTTTAATTTCTGCAGCAAGATGTAAATGAGTCATGCATGAAATGATGATATCCTGATGTGTTATTGTATTAATAGGCAAAAAACAGGAGTTTTGTAGGAACATGACACACACACAAACTGCTACTACTACTACTACTTTGCTGTCACTCGGAATCGAGTATGATGATCATCCAGCTATGATACAGTGATATGAGGTATTAGGGATGTCACCTAGGTTAGTGAGTTCTGAGGTGAATAAAGAGACCAATACAGGACCCGCAGCGTCGTTCACATTCATTCACACCTTCTCGTGTGGTGCTCCTCCAAGTGTTACGATGTGGAGTAATTGTCTCCCAGGTGAGGGGGTTGATTTGGCACTTTTTCAAGTTTGTCTTAAGACTATCCTTATACCTTTCACTTGTCCGCCGGCGTTATGTTTACTATTCGTTAGGTGACTGTAAAATAGCTGCTTTGGCAGTCTACTGTCGTCCATGGGGGTAACATGGCCAGTCCAACGTAGTTGTTCATGGGTAATGGTAGCCTCGATACTCCTACAGTTGGTGTCAGCAAGGATACTGGCATTTGTTTTCTTGTCTTCCCACCGAACTCGGAGGATGGAACGTAGACTACGTTGGTGAAAGTTTCCAAGTGCCTTGAGGTGCCTCCTGTATGTGACCTATGTCTCACTGCCATATAGCAGGATGGTGAGGACCACTGCTGGATATACGTGCAGTAGATAATTTCAGCTCCCTACAGCTGAAGACACGTTTTCAGAGTCTGCCCAAGGCTTGAGATGCACATCTGATCCGATGATGATTCTCTTCATCAATGTCCACAGTGGTGGACAGGTGGGAGCCGAGATACCGAAAGTGGGTAACATTAGAGACGATAGTACCGTTAAGCTGGATAGATGGTGAAGGTGTGTCTGAACCAGGGGCAGGTTGAAAGAGAATCTAAGTCTTACGTACATTCACCTCAAGGCCGAAGTGGCATGCACGTCTGCATAGGTGTTCAGGCTCTCCTGTAGGTCGTGTTCAGTGTGAGCAACAAGGGTGAGGTCATCTGCATACTGAAGTTCAGTAATGGAAGCTGCTGACACCTTTGTTCTTGCCTGGAGTCGTCTTATGTTGAAAAGACCCCCCCTTTACCTGGTACTCAATGTTCACCCCGCGGCTAAATTGGTACTGATACGAGTAAGGAAGGCAGCCAAAAAGATGGAAAAAGAGAATGGTGCCAGTACACACCCTTGTTTAACTCTTGTTTGGATGGGGAAGAACTCTTAATGGGTGTCATTGTGCAAGACACTGCCGTTTATGCCATCGTGGAGTTGCCTCACAATGGCGATGAATTTTGGGGGGCAGCCAAAATGGCTAAGGGTCCGCCAAAGAGCTTCCCTGTTGACTGAGTCGAAGGCCTTGGTTAGGTCGATGAAAGCCATGTACAGGTCACGACGCTGTTCTCTGCACTTTTCCTGTATCTGGCGGGCAGCAAAGATCATGTCAGTGGTGCCACGTGATGGTCTAAAACCACATTGAGATTCTGGGAGGAAGTTTTCCACCTCAGGAAGAAGTCTGTTTAGGAGGATTCAGGCGATAATCTTCCAGCTACGCAGAGCAGCGAGATTCTACGGTAGTTGCCACAGTCTGACCGGGCCTCCCTTGTTCTTATAAATATTGACAATGGAGGTGTCTTTAAGAGCTTGGGGAATTTCCTCCTTTTCCCATATATTCTCCAGGAGAGAGTGGAGCTGGCTGGTAAGCAGAGGTCATGCTTTTACACCTCGGCTGGGATTCCATCAGGCCCTGAGGCTCTGTTATTTTTCATATGTTTTATGGCAGTAGCAACCTCATCCAGGGATGGAGGATAGCTGAGGTGGGTCAGCTCTGGATGCTGAGGGACCTGCTGTGTAGTCAGGACATCCACATCGGTGTTTCAGTTGAGCAATCAATGGTAGTGTTCTTTTCAGCGCTGAAGGAGGTCTTCGTCGTCTTTAATTATGTGGTTACCGTCAGATGAGTGGAGGGGGGCTGCGCCGCGAGTGACTGGCCCATAAAATGTTTTAGTGGAATTTAAAACTTCGCGCATCTTGTGTTGATCTGCAAGTTTTTGTGCTTCACATGCTTTATTTTTAAGCCAGTCGTTCTTTAGATTGCGAAGTTCCTGCTGGGCTGCAGCTTTCTTCTTGCGGAAGGTATCAGCTTTGGTCCGAGACTTGAGAGTTGTTCTGCCAGTCAGTAAAATTCCCACGTTTATCATCGATGAGTACTTTGATTGCCGGGTCATTTTCATCAAACTAGTCCTGGTGTATTCTTTTGATCTGGCCAAGGTTCTCTCTGCAGGTTTTTGTCATAACAGTACTAAGAGTATCCCATCGGCACTGGGATTCACGTTGTTTGCTGTTGGGTTGTTTATAAGCCTATGTTTGAGTTGCTCTCTGAAAGCATGTGCTACCGCTGGATCCTCCAGACGCTTAGTATTAAAACCTCTTCTGGAGGCTTGCTGCCTTCGCCGTTTTGGGGCGACGTGAAGTGAGAGCTTGGATCTGACAAGTCGATGATCAGTGTCACAGTGGTCTGAGCCACACATGGCACAGGTGATGAAGGCATCTCGGCGATCTTTTTCTCCGATAATGATGTAGTCAATGAGATGCCAGTGTTTGGATCGTGGGTGTTGCCACGAACCCTTGAACTTGTCGGCCTGCCTAAACATGGTATTGGTGATAGTGAGGTTGTGTGCAGCACACTTGTTGAGGAGGAGTAGGCCGCTGGGATAACACTTGCCTAGTCCATTTCTCCCAATGGTTCCCTGCCAAATGTCAGCATCTCTGCCAACTCTGGCATTGAAGTTGCCAGGGAGCACAACCTTATCATCTCTGGGGATAGAGGTTAGCACTCTGTTGAGATTGGCATAAAGGGCCTCCTTGATGTCATCCTCTGCATCCAGTGTTGGGGAGTATGTAGTGATGAAGAAGGCATGACGCGAGTGATTCAGTGGGACTCTTAAGCGTCATGAGGCGCTCGTTGATCCCAATAGGCATTTCAGTTAGCCAGTGTAGGATGCATTGGCGGATGGCAAAGCCAACTCCATAAATGCTGTTTCTCTCCGCAGCAGGCTTACCCTTCCAGAAGAAGGTGTAGCCAGACCCCCGTTCTGTGAGTTGGCCCTCATCTGGGAGCCGGGACTTACTGATGGCTGCTATGTCGAGGTTATACCTAGCCAGCTCTTTTGCCACAAGGGCAGTTCTTCTTTCAGGATGTGCATTTGTGCCAGTATCCAGAAGGGTCCTGACATTCCATGCAGCGACCATAAGAGGTTGTATGGTTTGTTTTTGTTTGGATCTGTGATTTTGGTTGTGTTTTCGACTGCATAAGGATGACCTTACTGGGTGTAGTTGCCCAGTTGGGTCGGGTTTTTAGGCAGGCTATGTTTAGGGCACCTTTTCTAGCCTCCTCCCCATATGGGGTGAGCAGAGTGGCACCTCGGAAGGGCTGCTCAGTCTCACAGACAGGACCGGATTGCACTGCTGCCTAGATCCCAGTGCATAAACAACCATATTATCTGTGCAGAGTTGTGACTAGACTCCCGGAAGTCATCTCTACCTGTCCCCGTCACCATAGGACTTTAGGGGGTAGAGGGGTTTTGATGATGAAGAGAGGTATGATGAACTGGATGATGGTTGCGCGTGAGTTGATTTATGTGGTGAGGCAGGAGCGCAGGCTGCAACCACTCATCTTGGCTCTCCCTTTTCCTGATCCAGTGGTGCAAGTGTTGTCATGAATTGGGGGAGGGAGAGTTGCAATGGACTGCCGATAGCCCAGTTTGCTGGGTTTCGCATTAGTAGCCTGTCCATCAGGCATTGCCTTCGTCCGCCGGTGTAGTCGTTGGGCTTCCATGGTGGTCACCTCTTCCGCCTACACTGCTGTTGAAGTCTTGTTGGAGCTCTGTAAGCATGTCTGCCTGATGCGGTGCTCCACACCAGATATTTTGTTCGGGGTTTACTCGCGGTGGTTGGTCGGCGCCAGGACGTGTTCACATGCCAGTGGGCTTATGTGCCATCCCTCTGGGGCCCACTGCTACTCCGAGATCCCCTGCTAATCTATCATGGGCCCACGAGGCACCCAGTTACCGTGTGTTGCCACGAGGAGGCACAGCAGGAGTCTTGATGGTGAGGAGGCTGTGTACTGGTAAGGGAAGACATATGCGAGTTGCTTCCCTGTTCGCCACGAGGGCTAGCCAGCTGCAGTAGCTGAAAGCGAGAGGGAGCAAGCAGTGCTTGTACCTTAGCACTAACATAATGCTGCCACTCCGGATGCATTTCACCGGTACAAAAACAAAAACAAAAATAAATATATCTTAGGGCATTGGGCTAGGAACACCACCTTCTTGTGTAGCAGTTACCTTAAAGAAGAAAGAGCAAGGAAGACTGGTCCTTACTCAGTGAGATTAGGAGGGCTGTCACACCAGAGGTGGAAGGATTGGAACCAATGTGCTGGTGGAGGGTGTGACTCTGTAAGCTTTGTTTCAAGAGTCGAGGCCTTACACATTTTTGTGGTGTAGTACAGGTAGCTAAAGAATCAGCAGAAAGTTTGAATGCCATGGTGAATGGAATAATGAAAGGATGGCACAAATACAGACAGATAAAAAAAGAGCACCTCCTACATGACAAATGGCAGAACAAAACACACAGTCTGGGGGGAGATGCGGGAGGGAGGTTATTATGATCACTGAGCGAGAATGTCTCTGTGCATCTCTCCAAGGTGGCCACCCCAGCTGACTCCCAGGGGCACGCAATTTGAATTTTGCTGCGACTAAAATTCGTATAATTGAGGGTAACCTTTGTCAAATAGGAAAGAGGTGTTAAATTAGGAAATACTTTGTATAAGTGAATTTTTGTGGCTCAAATGTTCGTAAATACAATAGATGGATACCTGTACACTTACAGGTATCCCTTGCTATACGAATGGTTTTAAGTTCTCGAAACCCA